TCAAGGTCGATCCCTCGATTCCTCCGCCTCAGCTGAGAGAGCAGCTCCGTCGCAAACACCACAGCCGCGATCTCCCCGGTAGGGATGAGGTACAAGTCTCGCCCATGGGCAAGTTTCCGAAGCCAATGGTTGTTGGCCTGCTGGTAGAGCATGGCTGCCACCGGTAAAGCAAGAGGGTCACAACCTTCGATGTCTAACTTTTGAGTGAGGGCTGAGGACCGGATCACTCTGGGAAAGGTCAGGCCGTTGACCTTCTGGTTGTCGTATTGTTCTCGATCAGCTTGCCAGTTTTCATTCCAGTCGAACCCATAGACTCTGGTAGCTTCAATGGGGCCAGAGTTGGACGGAGAGCGATGGGGAGTGGTGCCAGTTGATTTGGGTTGGGACGGTGAAATGGGAATAGGTTGAGAAAGTGAGCAGAGTTGTGTCGGATGACACACGGAAGCTTGAGAGGCAGGGAGTGTAGGTGGTGGAGGCATGGTCGGTGGAGTTGGTGGAAACGGCTGAGGCATGGTCCAGCTCTGTGGAAAGGACGGTGGAGTTGGTGTCATCATACGTCCCATCCCATAAGGTCCCGGCTGGCACGGTGGCCACTTCGGTGCGTTCTGAGGTCGTGGTATGGTTGATAAGGAATGGACTGCAGAGCCCATAGGGCCACACCATCTGGGGAAGCACGGAAATGTCTATCGTTGCCCTGGTTGTTCTTGACGATTACGAGGAGGCAACTGTGAGCGAGAACGATCAGGGTCGGCCATGATGTCAACCCTCTTGCGCGCGCGTTTGATCAGCAATGAAAGCTAACACGAACACAGTGACATGTGGAGTAACATTTGATTTCACACAATGACTTCATCACGGGCCATAACACTCATTACAAGAGTAGTCTTGGAACCTTTTTTGACAGTTCGTCTCATGAAACGTGAAACGGAGAGAAACCATCAGACCGTGGAGAGACACGGCAAACGATCGAAAAGGAGAAACCAACAAAAGAAACAGCAGGAAAGATCCATAAATTCACCTCAAAGGTTTCACAGATTGAGGCAACAGTGCAGCGCCATCTTTTACAAAATTGGTTGTCCAGGAGATCCTAGAAAGGCAGAATCCGGTTTCCGGTTCTGAAGGCTTGCTATATGGCTAGCTTACGTGTAATTTGGAAGAACATGGAAGAACATCGTCTTGATCATAAGTGGCACGCCAAGAGGTTCCGTCTGGACTTCCTCGGAATCTGACTGACAAACACCTGTATGACGACTATGCGTCAGAGTGTACTTTTCTGACGTGGTGACGACCCCCACCGAGGGAATCTTCAATTGAGCCATGTCGTTACCTCCTGCGCTCAAAACTCAGATGGGCCTCTTTTCCTTTCTAGAGGGCACCAATGAGTATTGGAAGCTGACCCTTCCCCTTCTTCGAAGCTCTGTCCATCAGATCCAAAGCTGCCCATAGAGGAATTTGGGTTTCAGGTCTGGCGACCTCTTGTCCCAAAGAATGGGCTCCAAAGGTTGGGAGTTGACTATGCTTGAGGTCCGGATTGAACGTTCAGTCTGCGGGACGAATAAATCCTTCGAGCAAGATGCACTGAGCAGCAGTGACCGAGGTTCCATGGATCAGCGCCCAAGTGTGATTGGTTTTCCCACCGAAGGGTTTGGGGGGTGGGTTTCTTGTCCTTGGACTTGCCTGGCTGCTGGGTGTGTGCGGGCTTGTGGGAAGCGTAGGAAGGCTTCTTCTTGCCTTGGAGTGATGTTGAGAGTAATACGAGGATTGATCGATGGAGTAAGCTGTGATGGGCTTTGACTGGGAAGGGTACTGTGCCGCATGGAGACGGACTTGATTAGATTGTGGGTCGTTGTAGTCATACTTGGCGTAGCAACTGGATTAGCCCCATCGACCGCGTTGACCAGATTTCCAGTCATGTTGTTGATCTCGGTCTTGGTTGGTGTCTTTGGAATAAGACCAGCCGTATCGGTAGTCATCTTGAGAACTGGCATAGGAATGGGATTTCCATCCATATAGTAGTCTGCATCCCAGGATCGTCGAGATGGTGTATACGAGATCTCGACACTGAGCGTAACCTGAGAGAACCTTCTCGTGGTGACCGAGAAGGCTGTCGATGGCTGTGCATGGAATGAGTCGACCTGGCACGTCGACGAGCTGGACTGCGGTAAGTGGAGACAGGTCGTTTATCCTCACGGTGGTGGGCCCTGCTGTGGGGCTGGTGGGCGAGAGCGACGAGCAGGGACAGCTGATCGTGGAATGCTGGAAGGTTGTGGGACGCTGGATGAGCGGTTGCGACGGAATGATAGGAATTCGGTAGAGTTTTGGAGGATGGCTCGAGTCGTGGAACTTCTGGAGAATGTTCTCCATCCCCGCTTTGCAGTCGGTTCGTAGTTTCTGGAGCATCTCATCCGTGTGGACTGGAGGTGGAGTGGTAGTCTTCACTTCTGGTTGAACCGTCGGTTGTGGAGGTTCAGATGGTGCAGGAGTCTGTGGGTTAGGTACTGATGAGGAAGGACGAAGGACTTGTTGAAGTTGGTGGATGTGGGATGCAGCTTGGGTGGCGAGTTGTTGGTTGAGCAGAGCATTTTGGTGCTGCAAGGCTGAAATCTGAGCTTGGGACTGCGCCTGCTGGTTCACCTGAGGATCCCCTCCACAGAATTGTCCGACTATGCCATGAGCTGGAAGAACAGTACTTGCCGTTGGTGTCCACATTGATTGCATCATAGGGTCAGGGTTAGTGGTAGGTGGACTCATCCAGGATCGAGGTTGCCAAGAAAATGGAAACATGGCTGAGCGCGAGGTGTCAGGTTCAAAAAAGAAGTCAACAGTTCAAATCACAAAATGCATCCACACTCAAATGCAAACTCCCGTCGTCAGGCTCAATGGCCTAAATTCAATTCAACCCTTAGACGGCTTAAGTGCTCAACCCTTCGAATTGGTGCACAATTAAACCTGACCAGAGGCCATGAAGAGAAAAAAATACCACACCTAAAGTCGTGAAGCTGCTTGGCTGTTCCATCATGATGCAAAATGCCGAGCACCGCGCTCTCTTGGGCAAAGCTGAAAAAAGGAGATTTCCACGGTTTCAGAGAAAGAAGAAGTTTCCACGGCTGACGGTTCCACTTGATACCAATAATGGAGATGCCAGTCACAGCGGCCAACTGTTTAACACCAGAACGACCGACGGGTGAGAAATTGGAAAATGGCCGTCTGCTTCACTACTACGAATTACTAGATTAAATCTGTCAATTCAGAGATCAGGTCGAAGGATCCAACATCCTATCTGGAAAGGTATTCCCCGACGGGCTCACGGCATCTTGCCGAACCGACGTCAGTAACACACTTGCTCAGAACTGTCATTGCGAATTCTGTTGTGGAATGCGTTTTAAGTGCAAAAACATTTCCGTTACACCTGACAGGAATGGGTCGGTGAAGTGACCTGCCGACATGCAGGAAGCTACCATCGCCATAGCCAGTGTGGCTGAAATAGCCAAAAAGTTGTTGAGACCATCAGATTGCGAAAACCGTACAGAAAATGTACTGGCAGCGGAAATTGAAGAAATTCAAAACTGACGTCTTTCCGGTTCTGGGCTTAGCGGGTTGCCATTCACACGCACTGATTGCAAACTTAAAATTCAATGGCAGCAAACCCTGAACAACAGGTAATCACAACAGTGCAGGTACGCCAGATTGGCCAAGTCTGGCATCACCGTCGATGGTAGAAGTGTCTTCGTTGGCAGAAGACTTACCATGACGCTCCTGCCCCCTGCAAATTGAACAGAAAACCAAACCATCCCCTGCAAATTGAATTGAAAATCAAAACCAAAGAAGCAAAGGAGTCAGAGGTTAGAAGTTTTACATCTATTCAGTCTATTCAGATGGTTCACACACACACACACACCTACATAGTCCCCCAACTCTCATTCTTTCACTTGCGTCTTGCGATGTCTCTAGTCCTGTTGTTTCATTTCCTTTGTGTTAAAGCCTTGTGCATTTTGTGTCGGGAAACAATTTTTCAGCAAGAATCTTTCCAGTTTTGAAATACCCGGTGCCGATTCCCACATAGCCACGATGGAAAGGGGTCCGCTACCCAATTTCTCGGTCAATGTTGGGGGATTTCCCGGGTCTGTTCGGATACGAGGCAGAATTAGCCGCAGCCGCAGGGAAGCATCGTTTTGGACCAGACCCCTCCAAACCAACCTGCGTTTTGGAGGGGTCTGTTCGGATACCGTGTAAATTACCAATGTTTTAGGCACTGAATCCGAACAGACCCCTTGGGATGAACACCTTCTTAGAATGGAACTTACATGCCAAAATCAGACCTATAAATCATGCCCTTCCTTCTTGGAAGACAATCTCAAAACCTTTGTTTTTGACTTGGACTCCCCTGAAGATGCTGATACAGCCACTTTCAATGCTGGTAGGGGACCGCGGCCCTATTTGGAATTTGTTTTGTATCTTTGCAGTGATATGGCTGCAATGGAGATTAATCTCGACTCAAGGTGCCACAAATCTCCTAATTCAAGTTGAATATCAAGAAATGATTGCCTCAATAGCTAATCCACATGAAATTGGCATCCTGGATTTCCTTCTAATACACACTAGTGAGAGCACAGGTTGGCGCCTGGTAAAAAGTTCTTTTCCCAATGTCTTAGACAATTGCATATGTTGATTTATTCTGAAGTCCGGGTTAGGTACGGGTTCCGTAGGGTTTGAAAATCCACACCTGAGGTTTTCAGTCGAAGACCGAAGTTTCTTTTTTGATTGGAGACGCGCAGAAACAACGTTACACAATGAAATGCAATGACATTGACATACATCATGTTGTTGCGTTGATCTGAATAATTCTTAGGGGTTGGGTGCTACAGGATGCTACAGGTATGAATTTTAATTGCCCGATATACCTGGTACCACTGCATCTTTGAAAGCAAGCGATAGATATTCCACCGAAGTTGTATCCCGGAAGAGGACAGCACATGTTTGCCAGTGCTTGCTATGCGCAGGGCGGTGCCGAGTTTGTCGAGCGACCCTGGGTTGCGATAGTGTGATGTTGCTTCTGGCAACGCTGAAAGAGGATTCAGGGCACTGAAGAGAAATTTGACCAAGAATTGTGGGTAGATGTGTGCAGGATTTGGCAAATGTGTCGAATGATTCCATGGGTCCGGCTGTGGTACCCGTATAATGGAACATCCTGCTTCCGTGTCAGCGCAAGTTATTATGGCCTTCAATTAAACATATGCACCCGTGCTCTGTGACCAATCAGATTGCACCGGAAACAGTGCACATTTCCATCTCTATCCATCCTGATCCTAGTTTCTAGATGTTTCTCGCGGGGCCGTACCATTCAGGCCAGTCCATTGGGGCCCGGTAGCACGCAGTAACTTGCGTTGCATCTTGGCAAGCGCGCTGGCAGCCGCGCTGGTGCGGCAGCAACAGGCTGGAGGCCAGGCGTCCGGGCATTATATCATTCAACGCTCTCTGGCCGCACAGATGACTGAGAATTGTTAAGTCACAACAAGTGGCAGACATAGGTCATTCAGAGAAAAATGAGAAAGGATGCTCTGTTCCCCTGGAAGCTTCTCAAATTGTACGAAGGTCTTGGTTGGGGCCTGGGCTTTCCAATACAACGGTCCTGGTTTTAGGATGTTTTAGGGTCTGCATTTGAAACGTATTATGCATTTGCATTTTTCAGCAACCAGTTTACATGTGCATCATGATAGAGCCAGGTGGATTATCGCAGTCCGACGTGGCAGAGTATTGCTCCCGCGTAAGCGAGGCCGATCTTGCAACAGGTATTGTAAAGGAATGATGCTGAATGATGGATTCCGTGGGTCCGTGGGTGTCAAATCAGCGCGTCCGGGTCTGATTAGACGATTAGACGAAACGCGAAGCAGCTGCCTATAGATTTTTCAATTTCTTTATGTGTTAGGGCGTTCTTTTTCGGGCGTTCTTTGGCCAGGAAATTGGCGAATCTTTCCACGACATTTGGACGGAAGTTCCGTATCAGCTCTTGAAGGCATTGATTGCTTGGAGCGATTGAAGAATCCACCGTGGGGCAGACTGTATACCTGCCAGTTGCCGTGACAGCTGCATTGCCTGAACTGGTATTCAATAATTACCAATCCCACTACCAGCTTTTTTGCGCTGCCTGATGCCAATGAACTTCCTTTGTTTGCTCAATATTTCATGGCCTGGCATTGCGGGCTTATTGCAACAATTGCCTTTCCGAAGTACAACGTGACGGCGGGAATCCGTGGGTTTGCTTTTGCTCGCACTTTGTAGGTCAGACAGAAGGCGCTGCCAAATAGCGAAATGGCCAACTTGCAAAGGCGTGGTCAAGGGTTGTGGTTGGTCGCTGTTTTTGGGGCTAGCTCCACACATCCTTTGGGTTCCTATTAGGCGACACCCCTAATGTCTTTCCGCAGCTGATCAGTCATCCCTTTCATTATACCCCTCTTTGATTCTTTCTGACCCCTGATATGAGGCGGTCAATGCCCGGTGTTTGCAGAGTATTGTCAGGTCAATGTTTTCTTGCTTTGAGAAGAAATGCAACCCCTCTGAAGATTTTGACAACAACATTTTACAAACCCATTCTGATTTGCGCAGACCATTTTTGGAATTCTACAAGATTTTCTCTGACGATTCAACAACCATAACTCCACAAGAGTCTCTTTCAGATTGCCTGTCACATCTGTCGATCTGCCAGATTGTTCAGCACACCCTTTTTACGATGAACTTAAAGATCTAGAATTGTAAAAAGTAGTTTAAATCAGCACGTCATCCTATTTTTTGAGATAAGCCAAATATCTGAACCAAGAATATACATACTATTGAAACTCAGGCCCTCCCCTTTAGTAGGAAGTGCTTTTTTATGTCTGGAAAGCGCACCAAACACTGGAAACGGAAAGGGCCCCCAAAAGCGATACCTATAATTCTAACTGTTTTTGCAAAAGTTGCATACTCAGGCTGACCATACAAGACCCCTAGCACGGCACGTTTTTCTTCAATCAATGAATTACATCAATATTTGTTGGTGATGGTATCTTGGTTCGCAAGAAATGCTGTCCGACCACAAATGCATGCAATGGGCAAAATTAGCGATACCCCTAGGGATACCGTAGCGAGACCCATTTGTTCAAAAAGCATCCCTTAACTACAGGTAGATCCTTTCCTTTGTTTTCCCTCCCTTTCGCTTTCTTTCCTCTTTCTTTCCTTTTTCTGTCCTCTTTCTTTCCTTGTTCTTTGCTCTTCCTTTCCTCTTTTTTTCCTTTTCCTCGATTATTTATTTGTCTTTAATTTATTGTTGTTTCTTTTTTTCCCCTTTGTTGCTTTTTTAATTGTCCTTTCTTGTTTTTCACCACTCTTCTTTTCCTTTATTCACCAGAGTGTCTGAGCGAAGGCTTCTTCTAAAAGTGAGGGTCTGCTAATACTATACATCTTCACATGTTCACATCTTCATCACATCTTCTCATCTTGACATCTTCACATCTTCTCATCTTCACATCTTCACATCTTCTCATCTTCACATCCTCACATCTTCTCATCTTCACATCTTCTCATCTTCACAGCTTCTCATCTTCACATCTTCATATCCTCACATCTTCACATCTGCACATCTGCACAACTTCACACAGCTTCTCTCTCTTTCTCTCTTCTTCATATCTTCTCATCTTCACATCATCACATCTTCTCTCTCTCTCTCTCTCTGTGTGTCTCTTGCTCTCTGTCACGGTCTCTCTCCTTCTTGTTCTTTTCTCTCTTAAGGCAGCACGCAGTGCCGACGAGGCGCCCGCCCGCCCGCCCTTCCTTCATTTTATTTAAGAGCTGACGCTCATCGTCGGTTCCGCCGGATTACTTGACCCTCGGTCAGCGCAGGGTGGGCTTGAAAGCTATTGAATGAGGACCTGCTGCTTCAGAAATATATTCCTGATGCTTTTTTGATCATGTTCATGGAATCATGGAACTGCGGTTTTTTCTTGGAGCAAGTGGGGAAGGCCTGTTCCCGAAAGCTCCTGCGAAGGTTTTTCCTAAAGAAGTGCTGCCAATTTCACCTTTCCACTTCGTGTAAAAGCGCCTCTGTGTAAAGGCTTCTCTGTGTAAAAGCTACTGTGCGTAAAAGCTTCTGCGTGTAAAAGCTTCTCTGTGTAAAGACTTCTCTGTGTGAAATCTTTTGTGTGTCAAAGCTTCTGCGTGTGAAAGCTTCTCTGTGTAAAGATTTCTCTGTGTAAAAACTTCTGTGTGTAAACGCGCCTGAGTGCGAAAGCTTCTCTAGGTAAAGGCTTTTCTGTGTATAAACTTCTGTGTGTGAAAGCTTCATTGTGTAAAAGCTCTCTGTGTAAAGACTTCTCTGTGGGAAAGTTTCTGTGTGTACACGCGCTTGTGTGTTAAAGCTCTCTGTGTAAAGACTTCTTTGTGTAACAGCGTCTGTGTGTAACAGCTTCTGTGAGTAAACGCGCTTGTCTGAAAAAGCTCCTGGGTGTAAAAGCTTCCCTGTGTAAAGATTTCTCTGTGTAAAAACTTCTGTGTGTGAAAGCTTCCGTGTGTAAAAGCTCCCTCTGCCAAGGCTTCTTTGTGTAGAAAGTGTCTGTCTGTAAACGCGCCTGTGTGTTAAATTAAAGCTCTCTGTGCAAAGACTTCTTTGTGTAACAGCGTCTGTGTGTAACAGCTTCTGTGTGTAAGCGCCCTTGTGTGTAAAAGCTCCTCTGTGTAAAGGCTTCTCTGTGTAAACGCTTCTGTGTGCAAACGCGTCTATGTGTAAAAGCTTCTCCCTGTAATCCTTTCTCTGTGTAAAAGCTTCTGTACTGAAAGGCTCCTCTGTGTGGGGACTTCTCTCTGCATAAAGACTTCTCTGTGTAAAAGCCTCTGTGTGTAAAAGCTTCTGTGTCCAAGAGCCGCTCTGTGTAAAGGCTTCTGCTTCTCTGTGTAAAAGCCTCTGTGTGTGTGAAAGCTTCTGTGTGTAAACTCGTCTGTGCAAAAGCTCCTCACCAGCAGCATTAATCATCATATTTTCTTGTGTGCTATCTTCTCGTCTCCTCCCTGCAGCTTTCTTTCGGGCCACACTGTCGTCTAGTTTCAGTCTGTAACGTCGTTTCTTGTTGAAGAATGCCAAGAACATGTGAATGAAAGAGCGTCTGTGTGTAACAGCTTCTGTGTGTAAACGCCCTTGTGTGTCAAAGCTCCTCTGTGTAAAGGCTTCTCAGAGGCTTCTCTGTGTAAAAACTTCCGTGTGAAAAAGCTTCGGCGTGTAAAAGCTTTTCCGTGCAAAGACTTCTCAGTGTAAAAACTTCTGTGTGTGAAAGCTTCCGTGTGTAAATGCTCTCTGTGTAAAGACTTCTTTGTGTAACAGCGTCTGTGTGCAACAGCTTCTGTGTGTAAAAGCCCTTGTGTGTAAAAGCTCCTGTGTAAAGGCTTCTGCGCAAACGCTTCTGTGTGTAAACGCTTCTGTGTGTAAAGGCTCTCTGTGTAATCACTTCTCTGTGTAAAAGCTTCTGTGTGTAAAAGCTCCTCTGTGTAAACGCGTTTCTGTGCAAAATCTCCTTAGTGTATATAAAGACTTCTCTGTGTAAACGCTTCTGTGCGTAAAAGCGCCTCTGTGTAAAGATTTCTCTCTGTGTAAAAGCTTCTGCGTGTAAAAGCCAGTCTGTATAAAGACTTCTCTTTGTAAAAGCCTCTGTGTGTAAAAGCTTCTGTGTCCAAGAGCCGCTCTGTGTAAAGGCTTCTGCTTCTCTGTGTAAACTCGTGTGTGTAAAAGCTCCTCACCAGCAGCACTAATCATCATATTTTCTTGTGTGCTATCTTCTCGTCTCCTCTCTCCAGCATTCTTTCGGGCCACACTGTCGTCTAGTTTCAGTCTGTAACGTCGTTTCTTGTTGAAGAATGCCAAGAATATGTAAAAGCATCGCTCGTTTAATTAAAGGACCGGAAAACCCCACAAGTCAACTTCTTCCAATAATGAGCAACAAATGTTTGTTGCTCCGGGACGGGGAAGGGAGGAGAGACAAAGGAGGTGGTGGAGGATCGAGAAGTAAAAAAAAGTTGCGCGTGACAAAGTTGTATGTGAAAGATGGTGTGTGACAAAGAAAATGGTGCGTGTGTGTTGTGACGAAGTTGTGTGTGTGAAAGATGGTGTGTGTGTGTGAAAGTTGTGTGTGAAAGGCAGCATGTGACAAAGCTGTGTGTGAAAGATGGTGTGTGAGGAAGTTGTGTGTGACAGATGGTGTGTCAAAGATGGTGTGTGTGGCAAAGTGGTGTGTCAAAGATGGTGTGTGAAAGAAGGTCTGTGACGGTGTGTGAAAGATGGTGTGTGACGAAGTGGTGTGTGAAAGATGGTGTGTCAAAGTTGTGTGTGAAAGACTGTGTGGTGAAAGATGGTGTGTGACAAAGTGGTGTGTGAAAGATCGTGTGGTGAAAGATGGTGTGTGACAAAGTGGTGTGTGAAAGATCGTGTGGTGAAAGATGGTGTGTGACAAAGCGGTGTGTGAAAGATGGTGTGGTGAAAGATGGTGTGGTGAAAGATGGTGTGTGACAAAGTTGTGTGTGAAAGATGGTGTGGTGAAAGATGGTGTGTGACAAAGCTGTGTGTGAAAGATGGTGTGTGAAGGAGGGTGTGTGAAAGATGGTGTGCGACAAAGTGGTGTGTGAATGGCGGTGTGTGAAAGATGGTGTGTGACAAAGCGGTGTGTCAAAGTTGGTGTGTGACAAAGTTGTGTGTGAAAGCGGGTGTGTGAAAGATGGTGTGTGACAAAGTGGTGTGTGAAAGATGGTGTGTGACAACGTGGTGTATCAAAGATGGTATGTGACAAAGTTGTGTGTGAAAGATGGTGTGTGAAAGATGGTGTGTGACAAAGCGGTGTGTGAAAGGTGGTATGTCAAGGATTTGTGTGTGACGAAGTGCCACACTGCTAACCCAGTGCCACAAGCGCCACGCCTGCCACGCATAGAAGGTCAATGTCACCAAGCACCACGCCTGCCACGCAAAGAGAAGGCCAATGTCACCAAGCGCCATGCCTGCCACGCAAAGTGGCGCGGCACCCCGGGCGACCCAGCGCGCCCAAAAGCGCCACCAGAGCCAGCCCAGTGCCCCAAGTGCCCCGCCTGCCACGTGAAACGAAGGTGGATGTCACCAAGTGCCACACTTGCCACGCGAAGCGAAGGTGGATGTCACCAAGCGCCACGCTTGCCACGCAAAACGAAGGTGGATGTCACCAAGTGCCAGGCCTGCCATGCAAAGAGAAGGTCACTGTGGCAAAGCACCATGCCTGCCACGCAAAGTGCCGCGGCGTCACCGGCGACGAACCGCGCCCAAGCGCGCCCAAGCGCGCCCAAGCGCGCCACCAGATCCAGCCCAGTGCCGCAAGTGCCACGCCTGCCACGCAAAACGAAGGTAGATGTCACTAAGCGCCACGCCTGCCACGCAAAGAGAAGGCCAATGTCACCAAGCGCCATGCCTGCCACGCAAAGTGGCGCGGCACCCCGGGCGACCCAGCGCGCCCAAAAGCGCCACCAGAGCCAGCCCAGTGCCCCAAGTGCCCCGCCTGCCACGTGAAACGAAGGTGGATGTCACCAAGTGCCACACTTGCCACGCGAAGCGAAGGTGGATGTCACCAAGCGCCACGCTTGCCACGCAAAACGAAGGTGGATGTCACCAAGTGCCAGGCCTGCCATGCAAAGAGAAGGTCACTGTGGCAAAGCGCCATGCCTGCCACGCAAAGTGCCGCGGCGTCACCGGCGACGAACCGCGCCCAAGCGCGCCCAAGCG